TTCTGAGACATAGAGGATGACCAAAAAATAAATGAATGAGTGAACAAATGAAAGAGAAGTACTGGGACTGGCATGTGACATGGTGGTTAAAGGCACTAGATTCCCACATGGCTGACTGCAGTTCACATCCGGGACCTGGAGACTTGCTTTCTCTCTGTTTCTATCTGGTCAAATTAAAAAATAATAATAACAAATAGAATTAAATAAAATAATTCTTAAAAAAAGAGAGAAGTACCTATGACAGGTGGATATGTTAATTTACTAATCATTTCACTCTGTGTATGTATATAAGAACATCATGTTGTACACGTATTTGCCATTACCATATCATATTTACAATTAAATTTGCACAACTTCGGATCAGCTGTAGCATAGTAGTTAAGACAGCTGGATCCCACATGACTAACTGTGCAATTCAAGTCCTGGACTGTCTTGAAAAACATACCAGACATGTGTCCATGTATGCCCAAGATCCCAAACTGAGGGAGAGATGGAAGAGAGATTACAGTGTGACTGTTCTCCATTGGGGAGGGAAGTTTTCTCATTTTCTTTCTGTCTTTCTGTAGAGCATGTACATACCCTCTGACAAAAAGCCAACCATAACAAAAACAAACTTACACAGTTTTTGAAAGAAAAAGAAAAATAAGATATACTGAATCACTTTAGAGGCTGCAGAGAGGCCTGTAAAGCTAAGAGCGAGTGCCAAATGGCAGCTTGAAGGGAAAGGGAGATCTCAGTCTTATAACCATGAAGAACTGAATTTTGCCAACAACTTGAATGAGCTTAGAAGTAGATTCTTCTCGGGAACCAGCAGTTAGCGTAATGGCTATGTCGCTGGACTCCCACGTAGTCGACCACGGTTCATGTCCCGGACCCGGTGGCTTAAAACTCATGCCGGGCGTGTGTGTGTGCGTGCCCAAGATCCCGAGAGGAGAATGGAGGAGAAGGGATTGCGGCGTGACCATCCCCCCTGGGGGGTGATTTCTCGCTTTCTGTCTCTATGTCTCTCTCTGTCTATCTGGCGAGCACACGCGCCCTATAGCGAAAACCTCTCCAAAAAAAAAAAAAAAGTAGATTTTTCTCGAGAGAGGAGTGGAAACTTGTTGACACTGTGGTTTCAATCTTGTGAGATCCTCAACAGAGAACTCAATGAGCTGTGTAGTGATTGGACTTCTGACCCACAGAAACTAAGAGATAATAATAGGGTATTGTCGTAAGTCACTAAGTTTGTAGTAATTTGTTACAGTGATGATAGGAAACCAATACACTGAGTATAGGAAGAGATATAATCAAGTCATTTATTGCTAGAATAAAGGATACATAATTCTATGAGCTGATCAGCAATATTATGACTATTAATCAAATTGAAAAGTGGAGACCTGTAGTAGAAACAAAAATAATAGCTATTGACAACTTTGTAACTGTGATTTTATTGTTTTCTTATAATCTTACTTACTACCTGCTATTGATGTTTTCATATATTTTGTTATTGTCTTATTCTTTGTTATTTATATTATGTAAAAATATGTACATCTACTCTTTAAATTAATTTTAACGTAACTTTTTCATGTTATTAAATAATCTTAACAAACACCATTTCTTATACTTCAGTAATCCATCATTTGACTCTACCATACTTAATTCATCATTTCTTTGGTAATATCTACGTTTTTTTTTTTCTATGATTGTCATAGTCTGCTATAGGTTGTGTGTGCTCATTGGAGAGACAGAGACAGATAGACAGAAAACAAGAAATCACCCCCCAGGGAGGAAGGCCATGCTACAATCCCTTCACTTCCATTCTCCTTTCAGGATTTTGGGCACACACTCCCGGCAGGAGTTTTAAACTGCTGGCTCCGGGACTCGAACCATGATGGACTATGTGGGAGTCCAGCGACGTAACCATTATGCCATCTGCTGGTCCCAGATTGTCATATTCTTTTTACTGGACAACTTCAGGTAGATAAACATCAAAGTCAAAACATAAAGGGATTTTCAGGTAATAATTTTGCTAAATTTACTCACATTGAATGACTTCAGAGGGATAACAGTTTTCATCAGCACATTCTACATTGAGCTTTTGGCTAACTCCTTACTCTACACATAAAAATATGATTTGACTTATTGTTGTAGTGTAAGTTTTTCATAGAATATGAAATTTAAAATTGAGTAATAGTTGGTAATTTATTTGTTTTTTAGTTTTTGCTAGAGGGCACATGCACTCTGGAGAGAGACAGAGTAAAAGAAGGAAAGTGAGAAATCAATCCCCAAAGAGGATGACCATGCCACAGTCCCTTCTTTCAGGATTTTGGACACACATAAGCTCCTGGTGTTTTTTCAAGCTTCTGGGTCCAGGACTTAACTTGCATAGCCACAAGAAATCCAGCCTAACAAACACACACACACCAAAACATGTACTGGAAAATTTATTTAAGATGACAGTACTACATTACATATATATACACACACACATATATATGCATATACACACACACACACATACATATACTAGTTTTTTTTTTTTTATCCACGTGTTTATTTGTTTAGCAGGTATTTCTCAAATATTTACTGTATACCAGACACTGCATTAAAGACTTGGGATATAGTACTGAATAAAGTAGTTTAAGTCTCATTTCTTATGGAGTCTATGTGGAAGAGTGTTGAGGAAGAGGGACCAGCAGTGTGCGTAATGGCTATGTCGCTGGGCTCCCATGTAGTCGACCGCAGTTCGAGTCCCGGACCTGGTGGCTTAAAACTCACGCCGGGCGCGTGTGCGTGTGTGCCCAAGATCCTGAGAGGAGAATGGAGGAGAAGGGATGTGGCGTGGCTATCCCCCCCCTGGGGGCTGATTTCTTGATTTCTGACTCTCTGTCTCTCTCTGTCTTTTCGGCGAGCGCACGCGCCCTATAGCAAAAACCTCTCCAAAAAAAAGAGTGTTGAGGAAGACAATTTAAAAATATGCAATAGATCAGGTAGTTAAGAATAATGTAGCAGGATAAGGGAAAGGAGAGTGATGAAAGCTCAGTTTTAAATATTTTTAAAAAATGCAAATACTGAAGGTTGAAATGCACAGAGGACTGGAAAAAATGCTTCAGTGATATAAATAGTTAAAATAGTTCATTAAATATGATCTTTGTGTGTGATATTTTGTGTAGGGATATTTCCTGTATACATTTCAATTAACCTGGTTAAGTATTCCGATATTCATTATTATTGTATAACTAGTTTCATTGAATTTCTTTTCAGTCTTTTGGCTAAGATCAGGTGTAGTTTTGGTTGAAGATGTTTGTTGACTTGAATTATTTTATTGATTCTTCCTTACTTTGTTGGTTACATGACAAACTTGAATATGTGTGTTAAGATAAATCAATTGCTTGGAATATTGTAGTCTTCTAGACAAAAATGTCTAACATTGATTTTTACAAAGGTGAAAAGTACATATTAGCTGCAATTAGTAAAGATAAATTATTTAAAATTAAAGAATACCAAATAAAACATTTGCTGATGCCCATATAATCAGTATTTTCACATGTATGACTTTAATAATTATTGATAGATTTTCTACATATGAAACAGGTAAAATAACTTTCTTTAAAGAAAATAATATGTATTTAGGTAAATAGAAAGTGATAAGCATATTTGTGAAATGATAAATGATTTCAAGTTCTGAAAGTTGAATTGTTAAAATGAGCATTAATGGGACCAGCAGTTGGCGTAATGGCTGTGTCGCTGGACTCCCATGTATTCCACCGCAGTTCGAGTCCCAGTCCTCGTGGCTTAAACTCATGCCGGGCATGAGTGGCAGAAATTATTCTTTTCATGGTGCAATGTAAAGCACAATAATTTTCCAAAGAGTTTATTAATATGTTAATATGTGTTTAGTGAATTTCTAATTATTTCTATGTCTAATTATTTCTGCATTTTATCTATTTTTTAAATTTCAGTTACAGATATGATCCAGATCTATACGTGAATAACTTTGGTTAGTCAGAGTGAACATTCAAGAATGAGTGGTGCAGCTTTGGGACTCGAAATTGTTTTTGTCTTTTTTCTGGCATTATTCCTACTTCATCGATATGGAGACTTTAAGAAACAGCACCGACTTGTAATTGTGGGAACTCTGCTTGCTTGGTATCTCTGCTTTCTCATTGTCTTCATACTGCCTCTGGATGTTAGTACGGTAAGAGGTGAAACTGATTTTCACAATTTAAAAGGCGTTTATAATCACACAACATGTTAGAAAAATGTTATTTCTTAAGTCAGCTAAACTATATAAAGTTATATTTTGTATTTAAATGTTATTTTAGGAATTTGATCATTAAAATGGATAACCAGGAAGATACATTTAGGTAGACAGATTTATAAATCCCATTATACTTGAAGTACTTGGGAACTTGATGATTCTCATTTTTAAACTATGAATTCGTTGCTTTAGACAATATACAACCGGTGTAAGCATGCAGCTGCAAATTCAAGCCCTCCTGATAATAGCAACACTACGGGACTATATGCCACTGCTGCCCCAGTTCCAAGGTATCTCCTTATTTATTTATTTATTTACTTATTTACTTATTTTTTTACTTATTTATTTTGAATATTAATATTGTAAAGGACAACTTACTTAAAAATTGTCACTTTTTGCCATCCAGATTTTATATTTGTGAAAGTTATCTTCATTCTCTACTGATTCCTCTACTCACTTCCAGCCTTTGTTAGTATACATTTTACTGCATTGTACTCTATTTAAATCTAAATTTTGAGTATTTATTTATGTACAAGTCTTTTCAGTAGATGTTACTGAGAAACTCAAAGAACACTTGATTTTTTAGCTCTGGTTCTTCCCTTTACTAAATTAGAACGTCACTTCCTGAACCTATTTCTCTCTTCAGCCTGTTTCAGATCTAAAACCGTGAGGCATGAACATTCTCTTTTGCCAAATTTACAAAGTACAGTGGAGATTATTCTGTATATAGGGTACTCCTTTTATATTGCATGCTTTTTGAAAGCATTCTAATTTTACATCAAGAATGAATGAAGTTCTGATTGTCAAAAGGTTATATTGAATTCATATATTGAATCACCATGTAAAAAAATAAATATGTGTTGACTGTGATTTTTTACCAAGCTCAAGGTAGTATTTTCATGCTTCTTTATGTAGCTTTAAAAAACTATATTAGCTTGAGTAAAGGTAAATTTCAGAGGTAGACTGATTATTTATATTAATTTTTGCCAGAGAGCTCATGTGCTTACCAGAGAGAAAGGGAAAGTGAGAAAGCACCCTTTGTGGGGCGAGTTCATGTCACAATCCCATCTCTATTTCTCCCTCTTTTGGGGTTTTTAGGTTCATATGCATACAGGTCTGGCATATTTTTTAGGCTACAGGGCTCAGGACTCAAACCACATGGTTGGTTATGTGGGACCCAGCTGTCTTAACCACCAGGCCACTGGCTGGCCTGGTGTTATTCTTCTTTGATGTGCCATTAAAAACTGGATAGGGACCAGCAGATGGCATTTTGGTTATGTCACTGGACTCCCACATAGCCAACCGTGGTTCGAGGCCCAGACCTGGCAGCTTCAAACTTACTCTGGGTGTGTGTCCACGTGTGTCCAAAATCCTGAGAGGAGAATTGATTGTGGCATAGCCATATCCCCTGAATGGTGATTTCTCACTTTCTGTCTCTGTCTCTCTGGCAAACATACATGCCCTGTAGCCTCTCTTAAAAAAGAAAATGGATATAGATCAGCAGCATTTATAGATTGCTCCAAGTCTTTGTATTAAATGATATCCTTATAGTATAGGAATACTATTAAATAGAATAATCTGTGGTCAGAGATTCATCATTTTCAGAAAATTCAAATATAATTATATGTAGATGCTGACATGCATCTCCATAGGAGTTATGGTATAGTGGTTGTTTTAATTAGCATTCTAATTTCCAGAAATTAATTACCAATGTCTTTTTCTCTCCACCCCCACTCCCCTGCCATCACCCCCAAAATAATAACTAACCCTACAAATGGGGTATGTATTTTAAAGGTAATCATTAGAGATTTGATTTCATAATACATTTACTTTTAAACATTGTTACATTGTTAGTCTGTTAGTTGAATATTAAGTCCTTTTTGCCTAATGACTAAAAATAACATTGAAAATTGAAGACTTAAATGACATTCCTCTCTAGAACAAGCTGTTTTATTCCATTTGTGTGCATTTTTGTTTTTAGTTTGGCAATCAACTTAGAATTTTAAGTTTTCTATGTAATTGTGTAGGTTGAGTCAATTATTTAAAATCTGAATGTAATGCACACATTTATAATTTATTTAAGTTATAATTTATTTAAGTTATCATTTATGACTAATTGATTTTAAATTATTATTAAATAGACAACATCCATGTTTCAAGCCATGGAGTTACATTCCTGATGGAATAATGCCAATTTTCTGGAGGGTAGTATATTGGACATCACAATTCTTAACATGGTAAGTGGCTTTGAAGGATAACATTTTAAAATTTTTGGCTAGAGCGATAAAAAGGTGATTATTTTTTAGTGAACTTTAATTATTTATTTTTCCCTTAAATCTGTATCCTCTCCCTTTTTGCTGGCTCAAGTCTTTCCCATCTTAAAAAAAGAAAATGAAAACAGCCATTGGTTGCTGTTCCCTCCAGTTATCTATTGCCTTCTCTTTTGACCTTCCATCTAGTCTTCTTTCAATTCCATTATTATGTGAAACTATTTTTGTTAAGGGCCTCATTATCCCCTGCTTTTATTTCTATATGGCTTACCTCAACCTCTGCATTTCCTTCATGGGCTCCATTTCTGTGTCTCATTTCCTAAGTGTTGGTCTTCCCTAGAGTTCTATCTTTGATCATCTTGTCGTCTGAATCTCTCTGTATACCTTTAATTATAACCAGTGTTTTGTTGGCCACCACTGCATTCTGAGTCTTTCTCTCTCTCATCATAGCTTTGTCTTTCTTCTGTGCTCTATACTCACATCTACTCACTACCCATGGATCATCTCTTTATTTTGCAGGCTGGTAAGCTCTAAAACTGGAAGTGGTGAACATTGCAAGAAAAAAATCATATAGCAAAGTACAGTAGTGCCCTTGTAATTCAGGTTTATTAAAACCAACTGGGCCCTCAGCATTACTTGTCAGGTGTGTGAGCATGTGTGTTCAAAATTCCTAGAGGAGAATGGAAGAGAAGGGATTGTGATGTGGTCCTCTCCTCTTGGGACTAATTTCTACTTTCTTGTTCTCTTCCTCTGCTTTTCTCTGGTGAGTGCATGCACCCTATAGAAAACTAAAGAGGAGAAAAAAAATTTCCTGTCCGTTTTGTGGTTCTTTCCTACTCCCCAAAATAAAAAAAAAATACCTTTCATTCTTCACACTTAAGACTTAGTAAAATTTGTAGATGACATTACTTTCTGCCACACAGTGGAAATAGAAGTTACCAGCTCTTTCAGTGCCTTGCTAACAAACTTGCCTATGCATCCTTTTTTCTGTCCTCTCCAAGGGTTGAAGAATATTCCTGTTTTTTTTTTTGTCCTTAAGAATTATTTATTTTATCATCTTTATTATTGTTACTTTTTAATTTGCTGCAGGACTCATGCCTTCATGACAGAGAGAGAGAGAGAGAGAGAGAGAAAAGAAAGCAAACCACCAGGTCTGTTACTCCTAAGGTCAGCCATGTGGGAGTCCAGCACCTTAACCAGGATACCATATGTTGGCCCCAAGAATATTCTTGTTAAAGTTAATCTCTCTTCCTGAAATACACACCATCACCTGCAGTTTTTATTATCTACTTATGGTGTGGAATTTTGACAAAGCATTCAACTCATATCCCTTTCCAACTTCTACTTCATTGATCTCATCACAGCTAAATTTATTTTAGAGACTTTTTAAATTGAAGTATAAATTTGTGCCCCCAAAATTGCACAGATTGTGTTTTCTTTGACTTTTTTCAAAGTGAATGTGCCCTACTCACGTGATGATCTATAATATTAATAATTCTTCCAGAAACCTCCCTTGTGCCCCTCTCTTAGTCATTTCATATGAACTTTTTGCATCTCTTTTTTTGCTTACATATTTGAGATGTTCACCTATACTTTGTTTCATGTATCAGTATTCTGTTTTTCATTTCTACAAAATGCTCCATTTTATGCATATACTATAGTTTATTCTACCAATCCAAGCTTTTTAAATGAGTGAGTAATATTTGATATCTCCATTTGCTCATTGTTTACTTATGATTCAACCTAAAGTACCCTGTTTTCTACTCTTACTGCCTCCTCACACATACAGATACTTAATTTACTTAACCTCTTGGCAGCATTTGATTCTATTGTTTTTATTCTTCAATTTCAAGTTTTTCCTTCTCCTGATTTTTACTCTGTGCACTCTTTTTTTTCCTTGTCCCCTACTGTTCTTCCTCAGTCTCCTTTTATGGCTCTTCTTGTTTCTCTGCCTCTCCCTTAAAAGTTGATATTTCTCAGGAGTGAGTCCCTGGTTCTTTCTTTTGCATTCTATATGTTTACCCTTCTAGATCTCATCTACCAATATTATTTTAGTACTCTGGATATGGGTGATTCTGGAGTCAATTTGTATTTCCTATCCTCTCTTCTTAACTCTGAAGCTGTAATACAGATCGACCTCCCTTCCTGTGCAGCTCCTCTGGGATGTCCCTATGTTCTTTGAAGTCAGTATGTTGAAACCATTCTTCCCTGTCCTGCTTCTTAACCACCACCTCAACCACAATTGCTTCCAGATATTTCTGGTTTTTTTTTCCCCTTTCAATCTATTCTCAATATCAAAGCCTATGCCTTTTAGAAAACTGAAATTTGACCATGTCTCCTTCCTGTTCAAGAAAATGTTACATCATTATTTTGAACTAAAGTTCAAACCCTTAAATCCTTCATAAAGGATTTAAGACTTGTTTCAGACTCCAGTCATTCATAATGCTGCACTCTCTGCTGTTTTTCTGTACTCCTTCTCTTCCAGAAAGATTTCTTGCTCTTTCCTGCCTTAAAGTCTTTGCTTCTACAAAATTTAAAATTATAAAAATATTCAGTCATCTGTTATTGTTTATTTACTATTTAATTATTCATAATCATATTTATCAATGAGAAGAACTATATATTAAAATTGAGATTCATGAATTTCTGTTATTTTGAAATGATGTACATGTACCTTTTTCTTGTTTTTTTAATCCTATTTTTTCATTTATTTAGGATTCTATTACCTTTTATGCAGTCATATGCAAGATCGGGAGGGTTTTCTATTACTGGAAAAATCAAAACTGCACTGATTGAAAATGCAATCTACTATGGTACCTATTTGCTGATATTTGGAGCATTTTTAATTTATGTAGCTGTAAACCCACGTTTGCATTTAGAATGGTAAGAAAAGTTATCTTAACAATATTTCTGAATGCTTTTTTTTTTTTTTCTTAAGAGGAATTTTTGCTCTAGCTGCATGCACTTGGCAGAAAGACAGAGAAATAGAAAGTGAGAAATCAACCCCAGGGGGAATGGCCACGCTGTAATCCCTTCTGTTCCATTTTCCTCTCAGGATTTTGGGCATGCCCACATATGTGTCTGGGGTGAGTTTTAAGCTGCTGGGTCCAGGACTTGAATCGTAATCAACTACATGAGACTCCAGTGATATAACCATTATGCCATCTCCTGATCCCTGTATACTTTTACTTTTAAGATTAATTTTTATCTCATATTTGCAAGCACACAGACATTTTATCAAGAAACATACCAAGTTATAAGTTTCATAGATTCCCCCAAAAGAATATCCAAATAATCTATGTTACTCAGAAAGAAAATATGAAATAACATATTTAAAAGTAGTTGTTAGGTATAGCATAATGCTTCATCTAATGAACCATATGTTAAAAGTCATAACCCTATGATTTTTGTAAAAGAATTTAAAATTTTGTATACAATGAAATAGCCAGTTTTTTTCATTGACACTTGCATTATTTTTTTTTTCCTGACTATAGTTTGAGGACATATTTGTCCTTAGTATTAATTTAGATTTGAAATCTGTTTTATACTTGGGATCTGTAACATAAGTGAAGCACAAGGTCCAAAATTTAAGAAATTTACTGTTTAATTCCTAAGATTTGTGTAGATTAAGCTTAAACAAATGAGTTATTTAAAAATTATTTTCATGTTTCTCTTGGTGAATACTGAAGAAAACACCTAATGAACACTGTCTTCTTTGGGAAAATACGAAGTTGCCATGATTATCCTAGATTCCAGTTTTTAAAAATTTTTGTGAGATGTTTTTGCTATAGGGAGCATATACTGGGGAAACAGAGACAGAAAGTGAGAAATCATCTTCCAGGGGGAGCACCATGCCACAATCTGCTCTCCTGCATTCTCCCCTTGGGATTCTGGACCTGTATGCATGAGTTTCAAGTCGCTGGTCTGGGACTTAAAATGCGGTCAACTATGCAGGAGTCCAGCACCTTAACCACCTTGCCACCTACTGGCCCCCTATGTTCTAATTGTATCTGTAATAGAAACAGTGTTTCCTGCATTAAAGTTTATTTCTGCAGTCACACTTTTTCTTTCCATTAAAATATGCAAGTTATCTGTAGTTACTAAAAGAATAGCTGAGAATTTGAAGGCCTAATTTTTCCATATAAAATTCTACTCAGCCTTTAGGGTGATTGTTTTCTGAAAACGTTTAATACTGGTTACTTTCATTTTACATTTTTATAGGAAAATGTAATTATTACAGGCATCTGCTTATGTTTTCTCTTTCTAAGGAACCAGCTTCAGACCATTGGGATAGCTGCTGCAAATACATGGGGTCTGTTTCTTCTTGTGTTGTTGTTGGGATATGGCTTGGTAGAAATTCCTCGGTCATACTGGAATGGAGCAAAAAAGGGTTATCTACTTATGAAGACGTATTTTAAGGCAGCCAAACTGATGACAGAGAAAGCAGATGCAGAAGAGAATTTAGAAGATGTCATGGAGGTAAGCAAGTTTAAACCTTATAAACAATAGCCTCTTAGTTGTAGGTATCTCCTATTAGCCACTGTTGGGTTTTGTTGTTGTTGTTTAGCACACTGATGGGCTTCAGACAAGAAATTTGGTTATGTCTCATCCTGAAGGACTTCTGGTTGACTCTCTAGCCTCATGAGGAGTCATCTTCATCTTATAATTGACAAAGACTAAGGGAAAATTACCCAGTGTACCAGTGTAGGACGATATATGTTGTCTTGGGGTTTTTTTTTTTTTTTTTTTAATTTAACTTTATTTATTTAAATTTGACCAGGGGTGACGGGGAGAGAGAGAGAGAGAGAGGAAGAAAGTAAGTGAGAAAGCAAGCCTCCAGGTCTGGAACTCGAACTGCAATTGGCCATGTGGGAGTCCAGCACCCTTAACCACCATGCCACCTGCCAACCCCAAGAGTATCTTTTTTTTTTCCTTTTAAGTTTTTGCTGTAGGGTATGAGCTTGCCAGAGAGAGAGAAAGTGAGAAATTGGGGAATGGCCATGCTTCAATCATTTCTCTTCTATTCTCTGGGGATTTCGGGCATGCAACCACATATGCTCAGTATAGTTTTCAGGCCTTCTGGTCTGTAACTTGAACCATGGTCAGACATGTGAGAGTCCAGTACCTTAACCACCATACTACTTTCTGGCCTCTTGGAGTATCTTTCTTTCTTTTTTTTTAAAATTTATTTATTTACATTCATTCACTATACACCATTACAGCATGCAAAATGAGATTTTCCATTCAGAATACACTGTATATTGGCTCAATCAAGCACATCAAAATATATGTTACCGTCAACAAATAATTTTCCATTTCCTGTTTCCCATATATTTTGCTTTTTCTCCCATCCTTGATTCCCTATCTCCCACCTTCTGCCATCTCCCACCCTCCTCCCACAGTCTCTGGTATCCCATGGTTGCTTTCTATGCCTTTTTCCGCCCACATTGTATTGATTCACTAAAGATCTTAATTAATCTAAATATTTTCAATAGCATGCGCAGCTGATAAATACATATCTATGAACACAAGTCTGACTTTAGGCATAAACCTCAGTGAGTAGAATGAACATACTATAAAGTAACACCTAACTAGGGCTATATAGCTTACTGTAGTCATCAAATAGGTGTTTTTAATGCCTTTTTTTTTAATTTCAAGAAAAACAGGTTTAGATTTTTTTCTGAAGTTTTTTTTTTAAATTAATTAATTTACATCCATTCCCTAAGCATTGTTACAGCATTACATAATATGATTTCCCATCCAGAATATACTACTGCATAGTGGCTTAATCGTGCATGTTATCATCAATAATTTTCCATTTCTAGTTTAATTTTTTTTAATCCCTATTTCTGACCCTCTGTCCTTTCCCACCCTCTTCTCACACTATCTCTGGTGTCTACAGTTATCTTCCATTCCTTTCACCCCCACATTTTATTGATCACACAATTTCTTAAATAATCAAACTACTTTCAATAGCAAGTTCAGCTCGTAATTTCAAGTAAAGCAGTTTTAACTTTAATAAATCAAAGAAATGCTAAAGAACTTCTTGGAGTATCTTTTAATAGTGCCTTCTATTTTTCTCAAAAGTCTCCCAGATTAGATGATAAGTTAGTTATATTGTTATCCTAGAATAGTGGAAATTAAAATAGCACCAGAGGACATGTCTTTCTAAAAGTTTAATCAAGGTTTAACCCACCACTGGAAACCTCTTTAGAGACTAAGCCAGAGTGAGTTTGTATCAGTGAGTTTTGCTTCCTTAATAAAGCACTTCATTTTACTCACTTGTAAAATGTAGATGGTTTGAACAAACTCCACAAAGTTGTTGAAAGTTTAACTTTCTATAGCGTATATAGAAATATACAACAAAGTCTGCATTTCTTCAGGCCATGAAGCATGCTATTACATTTTTTTAAAGGAGATAATTTATATTTGGTGATTCTTATATTTCATATATTCAATAATTGAAAATGAGGAAAAAAATTTTGAGCGAATTTTTCTATAAGGCATATGCACTTGTCAGAGAGACAAAGGGACAGAAAATGAGAACTTACCTCCCCTGGAGATGGCCACATTGCAATTCCTTCTCCTCCACTCTCCTCTGGGGTTTTTGGGCCCGCACAAACACGCACCTAGTATGAGTTTTTAGCTGCTGGGCCCGGAACTTGAACTGCAGTTGACTGTGTGGGAGTTCAGCAATGTAACCATTACATCATCTGCTGGTCCCTGGAGGAAAATTTTTAAATAGTTGAAAATTTATGCATAAGATATTTATATTTGATAAAAGAAGAACATTTAAATTTGATATTAAATCCTGTTAATTTGAATAGCATTTGATCCTGTGGGTTCTGGCACAGCTTAACCATGGTACTACAGGGCCAGCCCAAAATGGCAAAATAATTTAAAAGAGAAATATATTCTGTACTTAACGTACAACCAGTTCAAAGTATTCTTTTTAATATCCTGGTCAGTTCTCTCTTGCTTCCCACAGTTTCAGTTTGCTCTTCTGCCTAGGATGGAGTTCCAACATTCTTCCCCCCACAAATAAAATAGAAGATTGTGATTCTTTAGGAATTACTGGTTCTAAAAATTTCTCTCTAACCTTTTTATGCTTTTATACTTATGAAGTTGATTTAATTATCTCCTTACCTGATTGAGATGTTAGTCAAAGACTAACAATACCATGGCTTCCCACCCACCCTCCAGTATATGGATTATGGTATCCTTACTCCTAGTACAGTGCTGGCAGATGGTGTGCTCTTAATAAATAGTCACTACTGTAGAGCTCCTAATAAATCCTCTCCTAGAATAAAGGAGCAGGCACTTTGTGACATTTGTAGCTTTTTTTTTTTAACCTTTTCTGGTTTCTTCATTATAATTTAGATAGTAATGCATAACTGATCTTACTGAGCAAGAAATACAGTCCTGTTCATAGAGAATCACAAAATTTGTGAGCACCTACATGAACTTTTTAAAAAGGTGTAGCTAGTAAGCAGAAGATAAATGAGTAAACGTAAAAAGTAATAAAAGGTGTAAGGGTATAGATATAGCCATTCAATGTACTTCATATAATGCTAAACAATTTGAGTTAAAATTAAACGTGAAAAGAAAATACATTCTCATTTGAAATGTCTGATCTGTTGAAATAAAAATATGTTCAATTTCTCTTCACTGTTTTTTTTTGTTTGTTTGTTTGTTTGTTTGTTTTTCTGAGAGATTTTTGCTATAGGGGCGTGTGCTCTCCAGACAGACAGACAGAGACAGAGAGACAGAAAGCGAGAAATCACCCCCCAGGGGGGATGGCCACGCCGCAGTCCCTTCTCCTCCATTCTCCCCTCGGGATCTTGGGTATGCATGCACACGTGAGTTTTAAGCCACCGGGTCCGGGACTCAAACCACAGTTGACTACATGGGAGTCCAGATTCATAGCCATTACGCTAACTGCTGGTCCTTTTTCACTGTTTTTATAGGAAGTTCGTAAAGTGAATGAAAGTATCAAGTACAATCACCCACTGAGGAAATGTGTTGATACAATACTTAAAAAGGTAATTAAATCATTTCATCTATTTCCTTTTGAAATTAAAAATTTATAATATTGTAACAAAAGCATCAGAAAAATATGAGAAGAGCATATGGCTAAGGTTTTCCCAACTAATTTTTATGGAAATACCATAAACCATTAGTAAATTGTACATAATTTTTTTAAATTTTAGTATTATAAGTTTAATATTAAGTATTGGCAGTATTTTTTATTGAAATGTGGAGGTAAAGCCAATGCTGAGTAATGTGTAATGATTGCTGTGACACAGTGTTAGAGATTAAACCTTTGAAGTATTTTGCATGTGGTCACTAAAGGCATAGCTCTTATAAGAAAATGAGTTAAGGCCTTAGTAATTTTTTTCTCTCTCTTCTATTTTGTTTTCAACTGTAATAGGCCCTATGCACTCACCAAAAGAGACAGAGAGAGAAAGAGAGAAAGAGTACCTGCTGGTGAGGTCTAGTCATGCTGTAGTCCCTTTTCCGTCTCTCCAATTTGTCAGAATTTTGCACACATGCACATGTGCCTGGAGTGTTTTTCAAGCCCATGGATCAGGATTTGTACTATGGTCAGCCATGTGGGATTCCATTTACTTAACTACTAGGCTACAGAGTCAGTTCATCAGTATTCTCATTTAATTGACTTCATATATGTCACGTGTTTCATGTAAATATTTAATAAGTCATATAATTAAGGTTTGCTACATTGATATTAAATTAGGGGTATCCATATACTCCTGAAAAAGATTATTTGCAATGTACCCCAGTTGTGTTTTATGTACCCACAAAACTACAGAATTATATATATATATGTACATATATATATATATATATATACATATATTTATTTATAAGTTTTCTTTTAGAGATAATACATAGCATTTATATGCTGAAATATTTCATGAATGAATGAAAACAGGTATCACATCACATTTTTGCTATAGGGTGTGTGCACTCATTGGAGACACAGAGAGAAAGTGAGAAAACCCCCTATGGAGGGATGGTCATGACACAATTCCTTCTCCATTCTTCTTTCTGAATGTGGGGCATGCACACACATGTACGCATGTGAGTTTCCAGCTGCCAGGTCTAAGATTTGAACTGCTGTTGGCCATGCAGGAGTCCAGCACCTATGCCACCTGCTGGCCTGAAATATTTATTTTTTGAGAGATTTTTGCTATAGGGTGCTCATACTCAATAGAGAAAAAGAGAGACAGAGAGACAGTGAGAAATTTCCACCTCATAGGAGGGATGGCCATGCTGCAATTCCTTGTCCATTCTCCTCTTGGGGTCTTGGGCACACACACATATGTGCCCAGCATGAGTTTTAAGCCACTGGGTCTGGAATTCAAACCATGGTTGACTACATGGGAGTCCAGCAACATAACTGTTATGTCATCTGCTGGAACTGAAATATTTCTTTTTTTTACTAAAAATGTATTGTACTGATTATTATCTGGTTCCTTTTGTCTAAGATTCTTACAGACATAAATAAAAACAAAAGAATAAATTTTCTAACCACTTTTATTGCATTTACCACTTTTTGAGACCTATTCAAGTGAGGTTAACATGCCTAAGTTTATATAGTAATAAATGACTAGTAGTATGGCAGATAATTCCAAATCATCTATTCATTTCATTATTTAGCTAAGAAAATAATTGAAAGTTTCATCAGCCTACTTTGAATAATCCTCTCAAATACTACTTGTATTAAGCTTACTACTTGTAAGTAAGCTCCTCTGTCTTTACCCTTTCCCAGCTAGTATATCTGAACATAAAGATTACTAGGGGTAAGAAGAAACTCAGTACTCTTTTAAAAGACGGTCGAAAAAAGATCAGCAAGTGAAAAATTAGAGGTGCCAATAAAAGAACATGTTTTTTGAGAAAGTTAGAAATGCCCAAGAATGAAAGAGTTTTAATTTTAAAAAATTATCTTTTTGCAATTAAGATTTTTAAAACTCTGCTTCCTTTTAGTGCCCTACAGAGTATCAAGAAAAAATGGGTAGGAACATGGATGATTATGAAGATTTTGATGAAAAGCATAATACCTACCCAAGTGAAAAAAGTCTGGTAAAATTGCATAAACAGGTAACTTTAATTATTGTTTATAGTTTGTTTTATTTACTATGTTTTAGTCAGATTTATAAATATTGCTCCCGAAAAAGAATTTTAGTTGAACATGTATCTGAAACTCCCTTTTGTCCTATATCTTCATCATTATTCATTGAAATATTTTAACTTTGTGTTTTTTGACATGATAACACGATTGACATTTGGGAAGGGACAATTATTCACTGAGCCTAGCTGGAATATTATGTAGAATCATTATGTCATTTTAGAACATTAACATCTTTGACGCCACACATTAAATGCTGCTGTCACTTCCCTCTTATTATGACAACCAAAACATGTTTCCTAATGGGGAGTTGAACCATTGTGGGATCAGAACTGACAGGCCTACCCATTTTCTCTTTTAGGTGATTTACTCAGTTCAGAGGCACCGTCGAACTCAAGTACAATGGCAAATTCTTTTGGAACAAGCATTTTATCTAGAAGATGTAGCAAAAAATGAAACCAGTGTTACTCATCAATTTGTTCACACCTTTCAGTCACCAGAACCAGAAAATCGATTTACCCAATATTTTTATAATCCTACAGTTGGTATGTAATTTGACATAGATTTCAAAATTGAATGATGATAATTTTTTTTTTTTTTGGTTTGCCAGAGGGTACCTAAGCTCACCAAGGGTGGGGACAGAGAGAGAAAAGGAAAGTGAGGAAGTACCCCACATGGGGAATGGCCCCATTGCAATCCCTTCTCTTCCATTCTCCTTGTGGGATTTTAGACATGCACATGAGAGCCCGGTGTGTTTCTGAAACTGCCAGGCTCAGGATTTGAACTGTGCAGTCAGTCATTTAAGATCCAGCTGCCTTCACCGTACCACCTGCTGGCCCTAATGATGACAGGAAAAACATATGTATTTTCACCAATGCATATTTGAATTTCATTTGTAGAATCTGATTTATACCATGTGATAATATTGCGTATTTGATAAATTTTTCTCCTAAATATCTACTTTATATATCATATAATTTATTAGTTTGAACTATTACTTTATAGTAATCAAAATTCAGTGCAAAAATGTATGCAATATATTAAGCATATTTTATATGATATGTAATAGGATTTTAGGCAGTTTCAGATTATAAGCATAGGTTTCTTCTCCGTCTTATATACTACTACTATAATATTCCCTGAAGTCTCCTTTGATTATATTTATTAATTAGTCTTATTTTTAAAACCTACACTCTATAGTCATCATTATTTTTTCTCCTTTATGATTATTTATGGTATTCCCTTCAAATGTTATCAAATGAAGTTTGAAGAAATTTAATACAAATACTAAAGAGTTCTATTTACCTTATTTACTCAAACAGTTATATTCACTTGATTCTCTTTTATATGCTTGGTCTTGAATATGAAGACTTACTAGCCATGAGAACTAAAGATCCTTGCTAATTAAATGAAGGAATGATGTGATACCTGTTTTCATTCATTCACCAAATATTTGAGCATGTAAATGCTATGTATTGTTGAGTACTTGGTATATATCAATAACAAAGATAGAGTGAGTAAAACGGACAAACACATGAAGATATAAATTAGGATGATAAGTAGGTAGTTGGTTTTAAAAATTGGAATTCAGAGGAGAAATCTGAGCTGCAGATGTAAATCAGGGAGCCATCAATGTATAAGTGATGGGTCAGAATAAAGTCAGTAAGGAAGTAGTTAGGATGGAGAAAAGAAAAAGCCTGAAGACCAAGCCTGAGGCACTCAAGAACTTGGAAGTTAAATTAAAGAGGAAATCAAAGAACTTGGAAGTTAAATTAAAGAGGAAATCAGCGCGAAAGACTAGAAAAAGGAATGGCCTGTGAGACAGAAAAATCAGGACTGGGAAGTGCTTTGAGGAAAAGTGTGTAAAGTACCTTTTCAAATAATGCAGATAGGTCAAGTATCATACATACCAAGACCTGACTATGAGAGTTCAAAGAAGTGTGATGGGGAGAAAGTAAAAAGGCCTGGTTGGCATTTAAAAGAAATAAGGAGAACAACAGAAACAGTGAAAATAGAAAACTTGTAAGAGACTACAGAGAAAAGGAGAAGTAGCTAACAGAGTTAGGGGGAGAAGTGGTCACGAGAAATTATAGCACGCAATTCAGGAAAGATTGCATAGAGGAGATGTAATGAGACAGGGCATTCCGGGAACAATGTTCATGAGTAGAAGAAGGATGGTGGGAAATAATGAACAACAAAAAAAAGTGGCCTTTGATTTGGAAGTAAGGTACAGATCTACCTAAGTAGGTGAAAAGACATGGTGGGAACTTGGAGGAAACTCTTGTAGTTGTTTTTGTTTTCTCAGTGAAATGTCGAGACTAAAGGAAGAGAGTTTGGAGATTTTAGGAGAGAAGAGAAGTTGCGAAAAAGTTGCCTAGAAAAGTGGACATGGGAGAAAACTTGAGAATTACAGTATGCTAACTAGTCAATGCTTAGGGCTATTCAAAGCTAGTAATTAAGAATTAAAAAATATTAGGAATTAGCAGTTAGCGTAATGGCTATGTCACTGGACTCCCACGTAGTCAACCGCGGTTCTCGTCCTGGACCCGGTGGCTTAAAACTCACGCCGGGCGCGTGTGAGTGCGTGCCCAAGATCCCGAGAGGAGAATGGAGGAGAAGGGATTGCGGCGTGACCATCCCCCCGGGGGGTGATTTCTCGCTTTCTGTCTCTATGTCTCTCTCTGTCTGTCTGGCGAGCGCACGCGCCCTATAGCAAAAAACCCTCTCAAAAAAAAAAAAAGAAAAAATATTTACTTTAACTTTATTTGTTGTTATTATTTTTTAATTTGATTAGAGAGAGACAGGGAGAAAGGGAAAGCAAGCCACCAGGTCCAGGACTCAAACTGCAGTTGGCCATGTGAGAGTCCAGCTCCCTTTACTGCCACGCCACCTGCTGGCCCTGTGATTGAGAAGTTAAAGTGAGGGATCAGCAGATGTCATGATGGTTACATTGCTGGACTCCCATGTAGTAAGCCACTGTTCGAGTCCTGGACCTAGTGCCTTAAAAGTCATGCCAGGCATGCCCTATGTGCATGCCCTAAATTCTGAGAGGTGACTGGAAGAGAAGGAATTGCAGCATGGTCATCCGCTCCCGGAGGTGATTTCTCATTTTTTGTCTCTCTGGCGAGCACACACGCCTTATAGAAAAAATCTCTTAAAAACAAGGAAAAAAAATAAAGAATTTAAAGTGAGACCAATCAAGAAAGTTGTATGTCTGTCTTCTGCAATGTTCAAGCTACGTGTGTGCAGGCTCAGGATAGAGCCTTGGAACTGGGTCTGACCAGGGTGTAGGTTAGCAAGCAAGTAGAGTGAAGCAAAAGAGGGCAAAGGAATTAGAATATTGGAGTGTGATTATCCCCAAAATTGAATCTGAATAAGGAAGAATAAAGAAATCGGGGTTTTCAGTATTGATTAAAAGGAGGTAGAATAAAGGTATTATTGGCCCAGATAGTCAGTCAGTGGAGCTGAAATACTACATGAAATTATTACTTAGATACTAAAATGAGATCATATGGAAAATTTGGAGTTATTGGAAACAAAGATTTAGGGATAACTTTTGGAATGAGCAATTGATGTAGAGGACAAGATCACTGGAAAAGAGGTGGTCAAGGAAAAAGGAGACAAAGGTATTAAAAAGAGAATCATCTATTACCTATTGGAATTATGCTAAGTGTAGAGTTGAAAAGATTTATAGAGAGCCTGGAATTCAACTCTTTAATGAAGTGAAAATATAGCCTTTCTCTCTCTCTTCATGATTAGAGGTTCTCCATTTTGAGCAGGAAGATCACAGTAGCCGACCTGCTCTTCTTGATACATCGTAGCAGGAGGCATGTTACCAGTTTGACCCATTACTAGTGATCATTTGGTTAGGATGATATCTTCCTGGTCCCTCCCCTGTAAAATTGCTATTTTTCTTTTGTAATTAAGTATCCTTTGGGGAATATTTTGAAACAATGTACTTTGTTAATCCTTTATAGGTTTTCTAATTTTTTTTTTCAATTTCTAGAATGGTACTGGGAATGTCTTTTGCGACCGTGGTTTTACAGGATACTTGCGGTGGTTCTGTCCATCTTCTCCGTGATTGTTGTGTGGTCAGAGTGCACATTCTTTAGCACTTCTCCCGTCTTATCCCTCTTTGCAGTCTTCATACAGCTGGCAGAGAAAACATACAATTATATTTATATTGAGGTCAGTGCATTTTATATATATCATAAATGTGTTTCAGTTCAAAGTATAATCCTTAACTGTTGTATCCTTTCTCCACATAGTTCTTCTAGTAATAATAAAGCAGTGAAGTTTCCCACAGTGTTATTATTCATACTTACAAAAATGAGATTCATTAATTTATCCAGACTATAAAAACCAAGAACTGTATTTGAGGAGAGATGGAAAGGTGTAATATAGTGCAAAATTCTTTTATGAGAATACTTTGATACTCTTTATACCAGCAAAGCTATGTAACTTATAGTCTTTATGTGAAGAGTTGCCAAGGGAATTGGAGAACAGGATCATTTCAGGAGGTAGATTTGAAGCTTAGGGATCTGGATTGTTGAACTGGTTAAAATATAGATTTTTTAAAATATAATTTTGTTTTCTTAGGTGATTTTTAATAAGCTCTATTAATGTATTTAAATTTTAGAACATCAATTGATGTCAGCTGGGTATGAAGGATAATGATTGCGATAGGATAAAAAGTGCTAACATCTTAGTCTTAAAGTATTTTGGTTTTGTTTTTTCCAGATTGCTTGCTTCCTTTCTATCTTCTTCCTAAGTATCTGTGTTTATTCTACTGTGTTCAGGATTCGTGTATTTAACTATTATTACTTGGCTTCCCATCACCAGACTGATGCTTACAGCCTTCTTTTCAGTGGCATGTAAGTAGAATTGTGTTTAGAAACATGTATTCTTGTGGTCACCTTTTTATTTCTTATTTATGGGTACTTCACTGATACCTGTATTTTTATGACCTGGTTGATTAGGTTTAATTTCTTTTAATAATCATTTTATTTAGCTTTATTTGTTTGTTTTAATTTGACCAGAACTAGAAAGAGAGGAAAAGTGAGAAAGCAAGCCACCAGGTCTGGGACTCAAACCATGGTTGGCCATGTGGGAGTCCAGTGCCTTTCATCATGCCACCTGCTGACCCCCAATTAGGTTTAAATATTAAATGGATGCTTGTTGATTGCCAGATATAAGGTTAAAATAGGTATGCTAGAGTAGGAAGGAGAAGGACACGGTAAACCTGAATTTATCAAGTAGATCTAGTAAATGGATTAGTAAATAGTAGGAACAATTGAGAATTTAGAGAGTAAGTTAGACCTAGCGAATATTCTGAGATTCAGTGGCCTTGAACTGCATGGAGGAAGACTAAGAAAACCAACGGGAACTGTTTTCCTAAGGAATTTAAAGAGGGTTTAAGAGATATGGCCCTATCTTGGGCTGGGTTGCACAATCTATTATTTGTCTTTACTGTTAAATCAGCCATACTAGATATTTATAAAGGCTGGACTTGAAGACGTTTACAGAGGAACTGATATCTGAAACATCATTAAGACTTTTTGTCTTACAAGTAATTTTTGACTCATAGGAAGTCGAAAATATTGGAATAGTATTCATGTAGATTTCACCAAGCTTTCCCATTGATGACATTGATGAAATCTTATATAGCTCTTGTATACAATATCAAAACCAGGAAATTTACATCAGAACATCACTGTTGCCTCCACTCAAATCTTATTTTATCATTATCATTTTTTATCCTTCATTTATTTGTCTGTATGTGTAAATTTCTATAACCATCTGCAAAAGTAAGATACAGATCCATTCTATCCTCACAAAAGAACTCTCTCATATTATCTTTGTATTTATACCCCATCCCCAATTTCCCCACTCCAATTCTCCAACTCTGTTGTTTTGTAAATACCTTATGTGGACAAAAATGAATACTTGAATACTGTACTTGTGAGAATGACATATTTTTGATACAACTTTAGATTTTTGATGTACTGAATACAATTCACTTCGAGAATGTTTCTGTCCTTGTCATACTGTGAGGTGGATCGCACAGATGGTGGAGTTGAAGAAGTTGCATATAAAAGTGCTCCACCAATTTTGGGGATAACGCAGTGGCAGGCATCACCAAAGCAAGCAGTCTAAGACTGAAGTTTTCCCCATGTAGTTGTTGATTTAAGGAGGATGGTAGTTGTTGATTTAAGGAGGATGCGGTTAACTGGTTTTTCAGAATGTCTCCCAAGTAAGTAAGGGCAGTTCACATTAAAATCTCAAAATATATATCATGTAAATAGAAAATTATATGCCATGTATATGAAAATTAAATTATAGCTCTAGTGATCTGAAATATTCTTAATGTAGTTCAGTATAAAAGGTACTTTGCTGCTTTATTTTTTACATGTTCTGGGTTTTTTTATTTGTTTGTTTTTAATGTTTCCTGTAGGCTATTTTGTCGTTTGACTCCTCCTTTGTGTCTTAATTTTTTGGGTTTGACCCATATGGATTCATCTATCTCTCACCAGAATACTCAGCCAACTGCTTATACATCTGTAAGTATGGTCAGAAAACAGAGTTCTTTAGATGAAGTATGTATTAGAGATGTCATTGTGAGATTTCTTGCTGGCAGGAAACTTCCATAGTGTTATTAGACTCTTAACTAAAACTTTCTCTGAAATGTTATATATGCAATTACTGATGACTACATTTAAAAAAAAAACAACAAAGTGCATCTTTTATTATAAAAGAAAGAAAAGTTTTTTGGTTTATATAGGTTATTTAGCTGAGTTAGTATCAAAAGACCTGATCTATAATAATGTTCACTTTTATATTTATAGTCTTAATGTATGTGGTAATTTTGAGTAATAGTTGTAAAATATTAATTTTCCTTAGGAGAAAGCTTTAAAAAGAAGCATCTTTTAAAAAAAAATTAATCCACTGCATTTCTTTCTTGTACTTTTTGAAAAGTTCAAATTTATTAATATAATTGATTATGGGAAAATTTTCTCATGAAGGGAGGGGATGAAAAATATAGAACTATGCTGATTCAACTTACTTTTTTTCTTGTTCTTTAGATTATGGGTTCCATGAAAGTTTTATCCTTTATTGCAGATGGATTCTATATATATTATCCTATGTTGGTGGTAATTCTCTGCATTGCTACTTATTTTAGGTAAGAAACTTAACATTACTTTTCCTCATATCCCTAGCTGGATCTGGATGTCCTTTTTCCTTAAAGCTTTTAAAATATTTACTTACTAGGTTTTAGCTATTTGTTTTCTTGTGTTTTGGGAGGAGCTGGGAATAGATACTATAGAAGGGACTGACTGCTTGAGTGGTAGGTCAGGCTCTTTTTATAAAGAGACTTTAGACTACAAGGACATATAGTATTTAGGTGGAAAATGATAGGATTAATTATAGAATGTGAACTCTAAGTCCTGGCCTTCCATACTGGTGGGCAGCATGACTTGGAAAACACTCTGGTGCACAGATTCTTTCCAGTGGCATAAATTAGTCTTAGAGCTTTCTCTAGAACAATTGCTGGTTTCTAGATACTTCAAATCATGGCCAGACAAAGGGTTAGGTGAGGTGCAGTTGTAATGAAGCAGTACAGATAGGGCTAGAGGAGAAATTCTTCCCTATTTTGGGGGAAGTCCCTGGGGGGCTTTTTTTTTTTTTTTTTTTTTTGAGAGGTTTTTGCTATAGGGCTCGTGCGCTCACCAGAAAGACAGAGACAGAGAGACAGAAAGTGAGAAATCACCCCCTCCTCCGGGGGTGGGGGGGATGGCCATGCTGCAATCCCTTCTTCTCCTTCTCCTCTATTCTCCTCTCAGGATCTTGGGCATGCACACACGCACCCAGCGTGAGTTTAAGCCACTGGGTCTGGGACTCAAACCACGGTCGACTGCATGGGAGTCCAGCAACATAGCCATTCCACTAACTGCTGGTCCTTGGGCTGCTCTTCTTATGGAATTAGAAAGAATTGTAGAGGCTTAAGATTGGAAAGGTAGTTGAGGGTTAGCCTGCTTCATTTCTAGCACTCTATCTTCTCTACTTTCACATGTCAAATTTAATCTTTTATTTTCTCTGCCCTCTTGCACTGCTTAAGCACTCCCTGGCACAGCAGAACGACCACTTTTTCAAAAACTGTATTAATGTTAGTCGGTCTGCTTTTCTGACAGAAATAAGTTACATCTACCTAGTTTTGTTTCAAATCTCTAATACCACTGTGTAGGTATTAGAAATAATATATACTAATATTAGGGTAATGAGTAAAAAAATAGTGTTTAAAATGAATTCTCCATTAAATTTTAAAAGCTATATATATCAGGGTCAGCAGGTGTTGTGGGGATTAGGGCTCTGGATTCCACATGGCCTACTCCCTGATGAGATACAGTAATCACTGTATAGTGTATAATAAAAGCTATTAGAGTTGGCTAGTTCTCAGGAAAAAGCAATAGAACATGAAAATAAGTTTGCATAGTTCTTTTTTTTTTGTTTTAAGAGAGATTTTTGCTACAAAGTATGTGTGCTCACTGGAGAGACAGAGACAGAAAGCAAAAAAAAATCACCCCCTGGGGGGAAGGCCATGCCAGAATCCCTTCTCTGAAGATTTTGAGCATACATGCACATGCTCCCAGCACGTTTCAAGCCACTAGGTCCTGGACTTGAACTGCGGTCGGCCATGTGGGAGTCCAGCGACATAACCATTATGCCAAATGCTGGTCCCAGGTCTTTCTAAACCAGAATATTCTACACTTGGAAATACAAGTTTTGTATGTATGTGTCATTATAAAACTGCTGCTTGAAATTAAGAATAAGATGCTTTTGGGAACCAGCAGTTAGCATAATGGCTATGTCGCTGGACTCCCACGTAGTCGACCGTGGTTCGCGTCCCGGACCCGGTGGCTTAAAACTCATGCCGGGCGCATGTGCGTGCATGCCCAAGATCCCGAGAGGAGAATGGAGGAGAAGGGATTGCGGCGTGACCATCCCCCCTGGGGGGTGATTTCTCACTTTCTGTCTCTATGTCTCTCTCTTTCTGGTGAGCACACGCACCCTATAGCGGAAAAACCTCTCCCCAAAAAAAGAAGAAGTTGCTCTTATACATAACTCTTATGTGTGTATTGGGTCATCGGAAATTTACAATGCATTTTTGCATAGAAAAATATGTCATGACTTTCCTGATGACCTAGTATCGTTTTGCAGCATTCTGGTATAATTATTTTCTGAGATATTCTATTAGTCTGCTTTAATTTACTTGCACAGGAAATCAGGGTGTAGTGTGAACATTAGTCAGTGAGATACTAGGCAGAGGCTTTTTAGAGAAATAAATACTTCTTGAACAGTTGTAACTGTAACTTGACATGGTAATACAAAAATGAGAAATTATCTGTAGACGATAATGTGTATGGTAATATATTGGAGTGGACTAATATATAGTGTATTCATGATGGGAAAATTCATTTGGTATGCTGTAATGATATACAGTGATCGCATATAAAAAGTATGTATGTAAATAAAGTTGTCAAAGCTTAATAATGAAACATAGGCTTCTTTCAAGATGACAACAGTAAAGGACATTTTATCTAAATATTTACAATATGAAGTAATGCTTGTCTTTTTGAAAATCTACTTTTATTAGTTTAGGAACCCGTTGTTTGAATCTGCTTGGTTTCCAGCAGTTTATGGGCGATAATGATATGACATCAGACTTAGTTGATGAAGGAAAAGAATTAATTCGAAGAGGTAAGATTTGGCTTTTAAAATAAGTGAAAGGCAAGTGCTATGTGCTAAGACACAAAATACAAAATTAATGTTCTGTAATTTGTAATTTTTAATGTAAAGAAATTATAATGTGGCTTTTTCTAGCTAAAATAATCTACATGTAACCTGTTTAGCCAAAATAACTTGAAAATATGAATACAGTTGTCTCTTGGTTTCCACAAAGGATTGGTTTCAGGACTCCCGTAAATATCAAAGTCTGTAGATGCTCCAGTCCCTTATATAAAATAATGTAGTATTTGCATATAACCAGTGTACATCGCCTTTACTTTAAATCATCTCTAGACGACTTGGTCCACTTCTCTCTTAGGGAGCCAGCTGGCTCTTCTCCTGTTTCATAACATTTGGCATGGCCTAGTTGTTTTCACTGTTGGTTGAATCCGTGGATACCAGGGACCAACCATTAATTGTTTGATCAGTCTTTACAAAATTCTGCAACTGGGCTAGCTGATGGCATGGTTGTTAAGGCAGCTGACTATGCAGTTTGAATCCTGGCTATGTGTGCATGCATACCCAGAATCCCAAGAGAAGAATGGAGGAGAAGGGATTGCCGCATGGCCATCTCCCTTAAGGGGTACTGTCACTTTCCCACCCTTTCTCCCTTGCTCTTTGTCTCTCTCCAGCAAGCATACACACCCTATAGCAAACAAACAAAAAAATTCTGCAGCGTAAATCGGTAATATGTCTACAACTGAATAATGCCCTTGTATGTCTTGGAGTCATCTTCATGTTTGCCTTTAAACATAGTTGCCAAGTTCTTTACAGCTGTGAAACTCATTAATTTAGAGAGTCAACCATTTCCTATACATGGAAAATCATTCTACCCAAGCCTATGTTTTTAGAATGAGATGATCATTAGCAGCTTACTAGAATGAGTAACACTGTACTAAAATCTAATCACAAAACTGTGTAATTAAAATACTGATATTCAACTGATAGTAGGATTGGGAGCTGCAAAGCTGACTTTTGGGACGTTGATTCTTAAACATTCTACCTACCTGAGCGTAGGGCTTTTGAGTGACCTTTAGTTGAATGTAAGCCTAAATGATTGTGGCTCCAAAGTAAGGTGGTGCAGCTGTCACGTGCTCTCAGGAATGTGGTATCTAGTCGATATAGTTTTACTGTGTTTTGCATTAATTAGACTTCATCTGGTGTATCACATCAGTCCTGGATAAAATTTTGAAGAATAAAACTGATAAATTATAAAGTATTTAGATAATGACACCTGGAATTATGAGTCTATAGATCATATCCTATGAGGAGAATAAAAACACTGAGTATATAACCCAAAGAGAATAACAAGAGGAAAGACTAATACAGAAAGAAAAAAGTATGAACTGAATTTAAAAGATAGGACTAAAAGAAAATAGCAGTTATAGAGAAACAAATTTCAGATTACCAAAAGGAAGAACTTTTTCCTCACTGAAACTATTTAGGTAAAACTACAGGACCATCTCCAGCAAAAGTAGAGAAGTTATTCCCTCTAGGTTCAGTTGACCTTTTAGGTGTTTTCCAACAGTTACATTTTGTTTAATATTGTAATAATTTAAAAGAAATATTGGTGATAGTAGATAGTATTACATAAATTATGACTATTTAACCATACTATACCAAATTTGAGACCTTTTTTCTGTCTCTAGAGAGGAGAAAAAGGCAAAGACAAGAAGAAGGCGAAAATCGAAGACGAGTAAGTACTCTATTTATTAAATTGCTGTAATTTAAATATTAACGCAGAATGTCATAAGACTCTTACTGACTGGGAATAATTGGATAGAGATAGACAAACAATGAGACGGTGGCATAGGATATATTTTTAAAGAATAGAAATTTTAATACTTTAAATTTGCTAGGAATCCTGTCAAACCTGTTCCTGAAAATCCATAGTAATAAATTACTTAATTCTGTCCAACAAGAAGCAATTTCTTGCCTAAAGCAGGTGTTCAGTAAATATTTGTTGAATGAATAAATTCATTCATTCATTAAATACTTGTTTATTCATAAATTCATGAATAAATTCTTGCTATTAAAGTGGTTTTGATTGCTTTAAATTGTCACGGGAACCAGCAGTTAGCGTGATGGCTATGTCACTGGACTCCCACGTAGTCGACTGCGGTTCGCGTCCTGGACCTGGTGGCTTAAAACTCACTTGGGTGCATGTGCGTGTGTGCCCAAGATCCTGAGAGGAATATGGAGGAGAAGGGATTGCGGTGTGACCATCCTCCCTGGGGGGTGATTTCTCGCTTTCTGTCTCTATGTCTCTCTCTGTCTATCTGGCGAGTGCACGCACCCTATAGCGAAAACCTCCAAAAAAAAAAAATTGTCATACTTTTTTGTAATTTAATTTTATTCCTCCTTAATTTTTTTTCAGTCCTTCATTAACTAAGGCAAACCTCCTCCTAGAGAGTGAAAAGAAAAAATGAGAAAAATCTAGTCACATTTGCCAGAGATTTTTTTTTTTTTTTTTTTGAGAGGTTTTCACTATAGGGCGCGTGCGCTCGCCAGACAGACAGAGTCATAGAGACAGAAAGCGAGAAATCACCCCCCAGGGGGGATGGTTACGCCGCAGTCCCTTCTCCTCCATTCTCCTCTCGGGATCTTGGGCATGCACGCACACGTGCCCGGCGTGAGTTTTAAGCCACCGGGTCCGGGACGCGAACCGCAGTCGACTATGTGGGAGTCCAGTGACATAGCCATTATGCTAACTGCTGGTTCCCCCAGATTTTTTTTTAAAGAGAGATTTTTTGTTGTAGGGCACTTGTACTTGCTGGAGAGACAAAGAGAAACAAAGAGACAGAAAGTGAGAAATCACCCCCTAGGAGGATGGCCACGCTACAATTCCTTCTCCATTCTCCTCTCAGGATATTGGGCATGCACACACATGTGCCCGACGTGAGTTTCAAGCCACTGGGTTTAGGATTTGAACCACTGTTGGCCATGTGGGAGTCCAGCCACATAACCACTACGCCATCTGCTGGTTCATTTGCCACAAGATTTTTAATATCTGAGTATATATATTGGACAACTAAAGACCAATAGGAGACTTGATAGTTGTTTTCATATATTTTAGCGTATGTCATGTAAAAAGGAACTGGGTTCATTTCAGGATGCATAACTAGAAGCAAAGAGCAAATGTTATTGGGGATATAGATTTCACTCTGAGAATTTCTAACTTCCACAATTTAATAACATTTTATGTAAATTTCTAAACAGAAAGCTCTGTGTTATCTAGTCAGGAAGCCATAAAGCATCTGGCATGGATATTTTAGAATGAGACCTATACTGCATGGAAGGTTGAATTAGGTAACTTCTAATGTCCATTTCAATTCTAAGAATTTAATGAGTAGAACTCTAGCTATATGGTTTTGTAACATTTAAAATAACTCACAATGCCATGTCCGTTGTAGTCTAATTAGGTTTGTATACAACTTTAATTTTGCCTCTGAACATGATTTTTCATATCCCTAATGGTTGTGATTTATTTCGGGGAAAGAAATTTTGTTAATGTCTTATCGATCACTTTGTGTTTCTGTGATTTTTTTACATGGTCAAAGTTAGCTTGTCTTGTAATATTTTGGCATTTAAGGTGGAAGAATAATTTAACATAATCATAGGTAGCAGAAATGTTTATAAATGTCTTCATTTGTAAAATTAAAGCTTATAGAGACTCATTTTAAATAAGTGATGTAAAATTAAAAACATTTTGACCTATGATTTTTTTAGGGGCACAATAATTGTACTGATTTCTGATAAGTTTCTGGAAAAACTAATTATATCACTCTGCATGTATAATACCAATGAATTGTTTTCTGTTCTTTTGTTATATATTTACTCGTGTTTCTAAGGAATGGAAAGAACGGTATGGACATAATAGAGAAAATTCCACTAGGAACAGAAATGTTCATTCTGACCCAAAAGAGTCAAACTTCTCAGATGTTAGCACCAACCGGTGTAAGTAGTTTCTTTTCTAGTTTGCTTAGAAATTTTTTTCTTAGATTTGCTCTCATAGAGACTAAGAGCTTAACCAGCCAGAAATACCTTTGTAGAATTCCAAAGGTATTCTAAAGCGACATTCCTTCTCACATTCCTCTGTATGTATAAGGAAGGGGGAACCCAAATATGCATTCTGGTAGGGGAAGGAGAAACTGGGACAGCAAGTGAATAGTAGTAAGCTTGCCAACCTCAGGAATACAAGTACTTATCCAAGGCATGTTCAAGGCAGTTATGTATTTCTACTGTTTACCTTGATATAGTTATTGACTGGCACATGTATAAAAGACACTTTCCTAGTTAGGTACAAAAAAGATAAGTTGATATCTTCAGGATGCTTATAATGTAGGAAGGAACTAATAGCAGGCAGAAACTGCCACTGGTTGGGTTAGGAATCATCTCCCCATCACATACTCTGCACTCACATGAACCAGAGGCCATTCGTCCCAGATGTGCCCAGACAGTGTTTTTACTTAGTACCTTTGTGCTGTTTAGAAGGCGGAGGTTATTTGTTCTGGGGGGAGATGTCAGATTGCTGAGAGAACCCTCCACTGAAGCTTCACTGTGCAGGATCTTGACTAAGAATGGCGCAGGAAAACAACACCCTTTACTACCCACCTACAAGTTTTACTCTCAAGCAACAGTAGTCTCTTATTTGAGGAAGCATAGAAACATGAAGAGGGACCCACTCTGTGGCACAGGAATGCATAAATTGCTGAAATCTGAGGGCAGGGAAAGAACATCGAGGGAAGTCATCTGATACTTGAGGACCTACCACGCTGAGGGTAATGGCATTCATCACTGGAGAAATGTCAAGTCTTAAATGAAGTACAGGGACTTATGCGAAGTAGAGCAATGACGAAGTCCACACCTAGAGCAACTGTACCTTAGATGGCTTCTCTCAATTACTTATCTCAGTTTCCACTTTCTTTTATACACAGTATCCTGGATTTCACCAAAATTTACGAGAAACACAAAGTAAGAAAATGTACATATTCAAAACAAAATAATTAATCAAATGTAGAGGCAGCTTAAACACTGGAATTCTCAGACTTTCAAAACACTAATTAGTATGCCGAAAGATGTAATGGAAACTTTGGATTGTGTGCATCAACAGATGGGAATTTCACTAGAGACATGGAAAGTATACAGAAGAGCTAAGTAGAAAAATTAGAAATATTCTAATAGCGTAGACTTGTCGTGAGAGCTGTGTTAAAAGGGCACATACCTGATGATAAAGGAACTCAGGTTAGGGAATGAGGAAGAGCTCTGTTTTAGGCAAGAATGTTTATAATAAATATTTCTGGTAATACAGAAATATTTAGCTTAGTATTTAGAAGTGGATAGTATTTAGCCCAGATGAAGAGTGTTTTAGTCGGACATAGTGACATGAGAGACTCTTTGGGAAGCACTGGTTTTTCTCTGTGACTAGAACCTCGGCATGAGGAAGCTGAAGAGAAAGGAGGCCGCAGAGATAACTGGGGAATAGATATAATCGTACTGAAAAATTTGGATTTTATCCTGATGGTAAGATTTCAATCTGGGAAAAAGTATGAGATTGTTGGCTGAAGAAGATGAATTTGATGACTGTATAAAGCACGATTTTCAGGGAAATGAGATATAGAAACTGTAGTATAGTGTTTGTTTTGGTAACTCTGTGAAATAATGAAGGTTTAATGAAGGCAGTAATTCTGGAGATGAAAAAAGATTTGTTTAAATTACATTTAGGGTAGAATAACTAGGAAAGGATTAAAAACTAGGAAGTAGAGGGAAGAGATTATAAAGGGAGTAGGACACTTGTTTAGAGTGGAAATTTACAGAATAGAAGAATTTAGGGGTGCAAGAGAATAGTTAAGAGGAGAGGAGACACAAAGCCCAAGTTAGAACCTGGCATGTTGCAGGAAACTGCTATTTGCCACCCTATTCTTTAAAAGTATTTTAAAATTTTACCTGATTTTTATCTCATTTCCTGTGTACATATAGTTGATGTATATATTTTTGTGGTCTATAATGGATTTTTAAGACACGCATACAATAATTAAATCAGGGATATACCCCTATTCATCTTCTTCGTTTAATATTTTATGATGATGCACACACTTGTTATTTGTTCTACTAGGTTTTTTTTTGTTGTTGTTGTTTGTTTTATTTTTTTTGCTATACGGCATGTATGTGCTTGCCAGAGAGAGACGAAAAAAAAATGAAAAAGCACTCCTCAGGGGATGACTATACCACAGTCCCTTTTCCTCCATTCTTCTCTCAAGATTTTGGGCATACACACGCAGGCGTCTAGCATGTCTTTCAGACCACCAGTTCCAGAACTCAATCCATGTAGTTGACTATGTGGGATCCGCCCACCTTAACTATCATGCCACCTGACTGGCCCCATTTTTTTAAAAATATGTATTAAGTTGTCCATATGTTTTATTCTGCTGTGATAAACCATCCAGCAGCCTCTATCGCTTATTTACATGCATTCCGGTGTTCATACTCTCGCTTCATGGAAAAAAGATTCAGGTCTTTCTCAAAGAGCTTAAGTCAATTTTGCCTTAAAGTCCAAGCCAAGAAATGAGATTCACTGTAAAACCAATTAAAACTTGATTTGATAATGAACAACTTCACTGTTGTGATACTGTTGTTAAATATTAATTCTGGTAGTCTTTGCACTTAACTGCTTCTGAGCTTAGACTAGCTACCAGGCTAGAGAAATGTTCCTTGTTATTTTCTATTTTACAATTTCTTATTTTAATCTGATTAAAAAAAAAAAAAACTATTTTTTTTCATGAGAGAGAGAGAGAGGGGCACACCCAAAGTGTCTTTATGCTGCAGTCCATCCCTGGGGCCTCAAGCAGCTTGAATCGTGGGCACATGCACTTGCCTAGTATGTATAAAAGGCCTAAGGATGTGAACCTGGGGCCTTTCCCATGTGGGTTTGGTATGGCAGAACACTGAATTACTCTGCACTGGCTGACCCCATAATTTCAGTCTGATTTTAAAGGAACTATGTAATTATCTTTCCTCTTATTTATCTTAATCAAAATTCAGGTTCTTTATAATCTTGATTTTCCTGTAAGTCAATGGACGATGACCCATTTAAAAAAAATAGATGTTTTAGTTCATTCTCTGTTGCTTAATCACTGAATACCTGAGTATGAGTGATTTATAAAGAATAGAGGTTTGTTTAGCTCAGTTTTAGAGGTCCAATGTGAAGGAGATACTCCTGGAGAAGGTCTTCTTGCTGGTAGAGAATTACTGAAGAACCTGTGGGTGGTACAGGGCATCACGTGTTAAGAGATGGGGAACATGTGTCTGTGTCACTGTGTGATCTCTCTCCTTATGAAACTACCTAGATTCAATTGTAGGGGTCCCACCCTGATGACCTTATCTAATCCTAATCACTTCCCAAAGGCTCCACTCCTTAATACCATAATCGGATTAAGTTCCCACCTCCCAAGACACTAAATTTCAACATATGAATTTTGAGGGGATACAGCCAAACCATAGCAGTAGGAAACTAGACTTTTTTTTGTCTCCCTTTGCAGCAGCATCTAAATATACCAGGGGTAATAATAGAACTGAAAGGGACCGAATAGAACTTCTCCAAGATGCAGAACCTTTGGATTTTAATGCAGAAACATTCACTGATGATCCTCCTGAAGCTGAATCAGGAAGGTAGGTTCAACTGTATAATTTGGTTCTAGCATTCTCCTGGAATTTTAGTAATGTATTGATAAGGTTAAAAACAAATTAGAAATAAATATAAGGATGATGTTTGTCTTTACTAATTAAAAAAAAAGAGTAACAATTGATACTTTTTTATTCCTTCTAACACTTTAATATTTTTACAAAATTACAGTATTCAGTAGTGGTAATCAAAGTGGTATTATAAGTAACAAAGAAAAACTGAAATATAGGAAAGAATCTTAATAATACTTACATGCCTTTTTTTTTTTTTTTTTTATTGTATGGTTTTAGCTTAGGGGACAAGGGATAGGTTTTAGCTATAGGGCACATGCACTCACCAGAAAGAGAGACAGAAAGTGAGGAAATCCCGCCAGGGGGAATGGCCATGCCACAATTCCTTCTCCTCTATTCTCCTGCCGGGATCTTGGGCACACATGCACACGTGCCTGGCATGAATTTAAGCCACTGGGTCTGGGACTCAAACTGCGGTCAACTACATGAGAGTCCTGCGACACAGCCATTATACCAACTGCTGGTCCCTTATATGCCTATTTCTATGAGATTTGTTTATCAACACTTGCATAGCAATGTCAATGTGTCAGAAACTATTCTAAACACTTTAACAATAATATCCTATTTTATGGTTGCAAATCCTGTTGGACAGAGAGGCTAAGTAAATTGCCTAGAGTCACACAGCTTGAAAATAGCAGGCAGAATTCAAACTCAAGTATTTTGGTTACAGAGTCTGTACCACTATCTTGTGCTTTAAACCACTAAGAAACAATTAAACGGGGAACCAGCAGTTGGCGTAATGACTATGTTGCTGGACTCCGACGTAGTTGACCGCGGTTCGCGTCCTGGACCCGGTGACTTGGAACTCACGCCAGGCGCGTGTGCGTGCTTGCCCAAGATCCCGAGAGGAGAATGGAGGAGAAGGGATTGCAGCGTGACCATCCCATCCCCCCCTGGGGGTGATTTCTCGCTTTCTGTCTCTCTGTCTCTCTTTGTCTGGCGAGCACACGCGCCCTATAGCACCTCTCCAAAAAAAAGAAAAGAAACAATTAAACGAAAGCAAAGTAGCCAAGTATTATATGAGTATTTGTATATAATGTATATAAATACATCATACATGTTCTGTAGGCTCTAAAACAGTTACTGGGTGACTGACCTATAATTAATTTTTCCTGGATAATATCCTTGAGGGTAAGTTCTGGCTTTCATCTACTGAATAGATTTTACGTAACTGCTTACAAATTATGTAGCTACTTCCTTATAATGTGTTCTTGTTTTTTGTCTTTTCTCATTTTGCTTTTGATACCTCATATCATTTTATATGTTCACATTTTAGGTATCAGCCTGGTGGACGATACCTCTCCATGTCTACCAGGGGAATATTTGATGATGTCTAAAGTCTGAAAAAATTTACAGAATGATTAACCAAGGTCAACACATCCGTTCAGTCTCTGACCATCTGTGTGTCATAGGATTTCCTCTATACGCTCAATGAAAAGTGTGAGGATAACAAAACAGGCATCTTAGTAATAATCATTTGTTCTTCATTGACTATATTATCTTTTCTGATAGGATTTATCACATACCATTTTTTAAGTGTCTGCCTTAGAAGGTCAGTAACAGTGAAAGAATTTAATTCATGATAAAGACCAGTATATGTGGAGAACATGTAGTTTAATTTATTTCAGATTAGTTTTTTTTTTTCCTTTAGGGGAGTTATTTTAAAGGCCCAAGGAAGCAACAAGTTATACTAAATAATGTTATACAGTTTTATAATTGTGCTTTAGATTTTTGCTGTTTCTGAAAAATATGTTCAACCTATATGTCCCAAAGAAATGTGAGTGTAAATCTCAAATAATTACCATCTTCACAAAACTCATGTCTTAAAACAAAGCTTATTTACCAAACATAACTGAATGTAAAAAGCTCTACTTCAAATCTGCCTACAAATTACTGGGATCTTTTGCATGTATATTATGATCATACTTCAAATGATAGCATTAGTGTCTTTAGCATGTAGACTATAATCAGTTGATTCAGTCCTTTCAGAAACTGGATTTTTTTTTTTTATGCTTTGGTATTGCTTTGTAAAAGATTTTTATTTCGAAGAGAAATGTAACCTTCATAATTTAGCATGTTGATTTAAGTGTTAATCATTCCATTCAAGGAGAAATCCTAAGCATTAATGGTAAATAGTTTTTTTTTTTTTCTAAATAGCCAAAGAGTTCCACAGAATTGTCTAATATTTGAAGGTACTTGTTTATACTTTTGGGAAAAAATCTGGTTATTCAAAGGAAACAGTGAATTTATTTACAATTATTACTAATACTTAAATTGTGACTTTTAGGAAACAGGACTATATTAGAATGGAAATGTGTAAAATAACTTGTTGGTTAGACATGCGTATTTTAAATTGATTGTTTCAACCTTTGTGTTTATGACAAAGTTAGGTATTATATTTTAAAGCATCAGTGTTTATTGCAAAGTGAACATCATTGAACCCAACATGCTTGCAGAGAGTTATTTATATATATGAAATATTTGCAACTCCTATAGAATATGTTGGGTGACCATATGTATTCTAACAGTTTGGTTAATATATGGTTATAGGTTTCTTGAAGGTATTTTCCTCTTTAATGAATGGTCTTTTATAAACTTGTTAAAGACACAATTCAGTGCAAGTACTGAAAGGAATAGTGCATCATCCTTATTATCTTGATTTTTGTTTTGATCTTTTGTTTTTTTATGGTCTTTGAGATTAGACCCCCTCTAAAATAATTATCAGTGGATAAATTTACTCTTAATCAAGGGTCATATAGACTATTCACTTGAGGACACACACACACACACACACACACACACACACATCCTGCCATTATCAAGATCTCGACACGTAGCAAATTTTAAAATAATAATAATGATAGATCAAATTAAATAAATAATTCAAAAAATAAAAGGCAGATTCTCTGTGATGCTGCATTCTAAACAAGGAGACAGGTCTAGGGTGGAGAATCCTGCTCAGTGTGCTCAGGAGGGTCACAGACCAGGTAGCAGGGACGGCCTGGCGTCTCATGAGGCTGGATGCAGCAAGGTTACCCACCCTGCGTGGGCTGGGGCTGGGAACTTGTAGCAACAGCCTTAGGGGATTTGTCTAAAGGTTACTTATTGACAGAGGGAAA